AGAGAGAGAGAGAGAGACAGAGAGAGAGAGAGAGAGAGAGAGAGAGAGAGAGAGAGAGAGAGAGAGAGAGAGAGAGAGAGAGAGAGAGAGAGAGAGAGAGAGAGAGAGAGAGAGAGAGAGAAAGAGAGAGAGAGAGAGAGAGAGAGAGAGAGAGAGAGAGAGAGAGAGAGAGAGAGAGAGGAAAACTCAGAGTCAGCACACTGGCATGAGGAGAGCTTGTGCTGGAAGCAGGACACACATCTGCAAACCCATGCTACACTCTGTGTCTGTGAGGCAAGTGGAAGCAAGCGTTTGGTGTTTGCATGCGTGCATGTGCAGGCGTGTACGTGTAAAAATCAAGTGTGTGTATCGGAGCGAGAACAAGAAAGGTAAAGACTGCGAGCAAGAGCCCGGGTCCAGCAGAAACGGAGACAGTGTGTGCTGCACAGATCTCAAAATCGATCTTTAGGGAAAATGTCTGCTGTGCAGCATGCCGCGCAACGTGTGTGTGCGCGCGCACGCACGGGCATGCAACAGTTTGTCAAAGATATTACTAATAGCCGTCAAGCTAAATTTCGCCTGAATCTTACCTTTTCATCTGGTCTCCGCTGCTTAACATCAACACAATAACCTCGGTTATGCCTCGATTGGTCATTTCAGAGAGACTTGATTCAAACTTTACAGAATGGACAGTGACAGGCGAACTAATAAGTGAAAAAGAAGAATAAAGAATGAAGTCTAAGTATAAATGTGCAGCACAGAACTCTCCAATTTGCACTAAATCCTGCTGTTTCTCCCTCTATGTCACACACACACACACACACACACACACACACACACACACACACACACACACACACACACACACACACACACACACCCTGACAACCACCATCAGACAAAGTGCACGTTGATGCGTGTAAAAATCTAATGGTCTTCCCGAGTGCTGTCAGAACATAACAGCTGTACTTAATGCTGTATGTGGGAGTGGAGCAAACAATGAGACAGAAACTGATGGAACTATAATTTCTCTTAAAAACCCTCGCCTCATCTATTAATACACCTCGTACCTCAGGAGGCTGCTATTATACATGTCCTTCAACTTGCTTTTTCTCTGCATCCGAGGAGCCGATGTAACAATATATCTTATTGAATATGGCTTAGCTTTATTTAGGTGAATACCATCCAACCATACGGTCTTAAAGGAAAACTGGTTTGTGATATTATGCATAACATCCCAGTGTCAGGGGATTGGAGATTATTTTTAAATTGCCCCTAAACTAATGCCATCCAGTGGACGTAATAGCGAAAGCAATGTATATCCGATTTAGATTAAAAAAAAAAAAGAATGATCTGGAGCCACAACAGAAGAAGAAAAAAAAAAAAAAGTCATGGGACTCAACGGTGGAGTAAAACCTTTTTCTTAAGGAATATAACTAACTACAGCAGGGCGAAACTAATTGAAATATTACACAAAACCAGATTGAGTTTGCACATGGCCTCTCATCCCAGCGTACTGCGCTTTCTAATACAAGCAGTATAATAATAAAAACACATAGAATCTGTCAAACTGCTCTTACAGTCAAATACTGGATGGAAATAATGTTCAATTAATTCATTTAGTAACGTAGTGTGGTAATAAATTAATCAATATCTTGAGTGTATTTTCAATGGTCTAAGTAATTTAACCAGTAAGAATCCGGACATAAGCTGGTTCCAGTTTTATATATTTTGTATTGATGTAAACTGAATTCCTTTGGGTTTTTGGGCAGTTGAGACAACATATCAGCAGTTTAAAAGGCATCATGAACTCTGGCAACTTCTCATTAACACTGCTCTACATTTGTTGATTAATAGATCAAAACAGTGAAGAAAGGAAAACTGATTATCTCTATGGTTGCACTCGTGTAATGCATCTACAGTAAAGTAAATAAGCATGTCATGGTCACTGGAGCGAGCATGGGCCTGTACTGATTTCCATCTGTGCATGCAACAATACACCAGGCTGTGTCAACAGTGAAGAAACACTACAGAATATTTCAGTTGTACACTTAATATTCGAGGTTCGATCCCCTTTCTTCCCCCAGTGTCGAGCTCATCTCTATCTCACGCAGATGTTTCTATTCCTCCCTCGGGATTTGATATGTATCAGTATTACGCTCTTTAGGCTGCACCCGTCCACACAGACCACGGCTGTCACTTCATGAGCAGTTGCAGCGGAATTTTAGACCAACTTTAAGTTGATGTCATGTTAATGCGAGCTTCAAATACACCGTGCAGTAGACTCAGCGTATTAAATATGTATGATTGGTCAAACAACATTTTGCAAAGAGCAAAATTGCATTTGTAATTTGCTAAATTGTTTTTTAGCAAAGTTTCCAGGATCGTGCGTAAGCTGCGTAACACATGGAGTCTCGGAGATATGGGTGAACGCACACAAAAAAAAAAAAAAAAAAAAGAAGCTCTCCGCACTTTAAAAGAAACAAAACACAAACGTACTTACTTATTCTACTTAGTCTCGAGCTTAAACCCCGCAAACACAGCGCAGATCGACTTTTCAGAACTTGGTCATCTGATGGCCAGCGTGAGTAACAGGCACGGAAATTCCTGCTTCTTCACTTCAGCCTGCTCGGCCCAGGTCTGATCTCCGCGATCAGTGTTTTCACATCACCCGATCATCGAATAATCGGGTCCGGTTCGCTTCCGCGGTGAAGATTTGTTGTCTTATCTGCAACTCAGTCCATCTTCTAGTCCACTTTCAGGGGCTACACGCGTAGCGTCGCATAGACCGAGCCAGTGAGTGAGTGAGTGTATGAGTGTGTGTCGGTGTGTTTCTAATGGCGGTGAAGCGCCCCCATCCGCCAACAATCCAATCTGCTCCATTATGAGCAGGGACAGCCGGGGAGGAAGACTGCCGGGCCACAACCTCCAAAATAAAACTCTCCTGTGAGGAGCTGCCTGCTGCCAGGCTTTCTGGTGAGAGGCAAAGTTTAAACGAGGAAGCAAATTAACATTGTACTACTTGTTATTAGAGAGAACCATGCCAGAAGAAGAAAGATGCAACATATGCTATTTCAATTTTGAACCAACCAGACTGATGTTCCGTGAACAGTGACTTTTTAGTCTCAATTTGAGGACAAAATGCAGAAAAGTTAATCGTTAAGATAAGTTAGTCGTCTCTGCTTGTAGGCTACTTGACTGCAGGAACTTATCATATCCTTGATTAGAGTTTGTTTGTTTTTTAAAACAAGTATGTTTTTGTTAGTTGATCGATTTTCAAAGATTCAATAATCATGTACTGCATTCAGCACCCAATACATTTTCCATTTTCATTATAATTTTTTTTTCTTCAGCAAGCGGGCAGCTTGGAGTTAAAACTACAGTCTCCAGGCTGCAGCAGGCTATTTCCCTGAAATCAAATATGATATGTCTATTTAACATATAACTTGCATACTTCGCAAGAATGCTTTTAAAGCGATTGGCCTCAAATCATGTTTCCATATGCAAATGAAATATATTGACCCCATAGTGCACTGGGTCGCTGCCCTGGATACGCATGCGCACGACAGCCATATGCACGTTCATAACGTGGGGGAGATAATGTGGTGCCGTAACACGTTTTTTGGGTTACATCAACGTGTTATGTGTCATGTTTCAGATGATTAGATGCCCGTCCCGTACTGTCATTAGAAACAGCAGCTGCGCAGAGCGTTTGTTTGTATCGCTTTATAATCCATACATCGATAGCAGGTCAGTTGCTGCTCTGTGCGGTCAAGAGGACACCGAGGGCACGGTTCAAGTTTTATCTTCATATTGCGACATAAGCTTTGCAATCGTACATAAATAAATATTTCATTTTCTGGGAACACGAGCATCGCTTTGAAACTGAACGCGAAAGACATCACGCCAAGCTCCCCATCACGTCCACCTGTGTGTGCTCTCGTAATCAAAACCGCGGAGCTGCAGGCGCTACTTTGGTCCGACGTTAAGCAGGGGATGACGCGCTCAGCTGTTGCCCTGGGTTACCCGGTGCTTCGAGATGGAGACACGGAGAACACGGATGGTCCCGACGGTCCAAGTTGTGTTATAGTGGTCCACAACTTTTCACGGAGCTGCGGGACCTTGTTAACGTGCCGGTTTACAACAGAAGCTTTGTAGTGTAATTATACATAAGCGACCAGTTTTATGTGCGCACGAGCACGGAGGTTTCTGCGGTGATTTTGTTTTTGTTTCGTTGCAACAGTCTGGTGCTTGTTGCACATCAATTAAGCAGCGGATATGGCGTGCGTAATTGTGGCTTAGTGCGCTACATCACTCCAATTAGAGACTGCAGATGGAACAGATTGTTGCCTTCAGATGGCTGAATATAATCACCAGAGAATGTATTATTATTATTATTATTATTACTCCGTCTGCCTGGCATTACATAACAAATGTATGTATGTATGTATGTGTTTGATCACATGTCCGCTGATTGTAAAATTAAAGGGAAAAGACGAACAAAACAGGAATAAAGCGCTTTAGAGAGGCTCATAAGGGTGTAACTTCACACAACATGATGCTGAGAACGCTCATGAATGGCTGCCTGTCTGTAAAGTGTAGGCTGTGTGGGCTCACGTGGAGGGTCCACTGGAGAAGTGACGCCACGAGAGGCTCGCCCAGAATTTCAGCTGTCTGGATATACCTCCCCCCCAAGACCCACCCCCCATCCCCGGACCCAAGAGCCATCGATTAGCATGGAGTGCCCACCCCGACACGTGAGAGAGAAACGCCCCCATGTACCCAGCTGTTGCTGCTGCTAAACTGCATGTTGCATGTATTTGTGGACCATGTGATAGTTTTTCTTTTCAGGATTTGACTTTGGCATGACAGCATTCCTGCTCATTTTACATACAACGCAACAGTGTAAACTTTCACGTTATGACGTCATGTGTGAGCCAATAAAGTCAAGTTCACCGCTGTCCTCTGGACTGACGAAGGAGTTTAGCAGCATGTTCATGACATGAGCACTAAGAAAAGATGACAAACTGGAACCTACAGTGTTCAACATAGTCAGCTGGAAAAAGAAACAAAGACGGACCGACAAACATACAGGCTGCTGAGGCCTGGAGGTTGTAGTATCTTCCTCCCCATTAATGCACTGTTGTTGACATCATTTGTGATGCAAGGGGGAAAGAAATGGAATTGGCACGTCTGCATTGAGCGCAGCCATCCTTATATTTTTATGGGCTTATCCCCGTCTCTATTAAATCCATGAAGGCCCACAAGTTACGGCTTAGCTTTTTCCTAAGTCGTACGGCTGCAGTGCTCATATCCACACTGTGAGACAAACAAGGCTGCTCCCATGCAACACAAATACTGTCAATTATAACTTGCACAGAGGAAAGCGCTTTAGCTGAAATGAGGTTTAGGGTTACTGTAATTAGCTGACCTTTTCACTGGTCTCGGGGCACTTTGTGACATTAATTACCAAACAGAGAAAACCAACCACAAACAGTGTGTCTGTAGTAAGTGACCCCTGAACATGGCCATGTATTGGTCAGTAGAGAGACGGAGAGCCCTGATTGGAGCAGAGTGGGGGGCGTCCATTGAATTAGTTCCTTTGTTATGGAATACTCATTCCTGTGATTGTCTGCCCTGAGTGATCATGTGGACTTATGCTGTATTGAATGCGACAACAGAACAATGCATCTGGCCCACAGCCTGATGTCACTGTGCCTGCACTGCAGGGCTGGGAGTGCTGTCGCTGGTGACTCAACCTTGATCAGTCTGCTGTAAACCACATTCATCCATATCCAATAATCCACGTTAAAGGACGGGGCGGGGTGATATTCGGTATTTTTGGAATAGACCAGTACCAACCATGCATTAGTCGTTCCACAAATACTTTCCAACTTCCACATCCTGTCTGTGATTCTCAGCCCTGAAGGTTCTGATGTAAATCTTTATGAATGGCTGACATTTATATAAGAGTTTCACTTCTTAAAAAGGCTAAATCATTTCCTAAAACAGCTGTAGGTACTGTAGCTTTAAGCAAACATGAGTCAAACTGAAGTAAACAGTGTATTCGTCAAGGACTATTTTCAGCGGTGGATTTAATGTGCCAGTGAGTATTTACAGCAGGGGAAAGGTTTGACTGGATCAAACTGGCTTGGCAGGATCAGTAAAAACAAAACAAAAAAACAACCACAGTCTATTGTGCCCAAGTTCAATGTAATAATGTGACACATCTCCCAGTGTAATAATGTGGCTCATTCATGTGTTTTTAAAAGGTTTTGAACAGGAATGGAAGTCTATGGCACCAAGGAATAAAGTATGTCAGACTTTTGCACAGGAAATATTCATCAGAAGGATCAATTCACTGTTATATGTAAATACAATATGTAAATCACCACCGTTTTTCAAATCATTTTGCTTCAATCTCCGAGCCGCCTGACTGAGCACCCTTGCTTCACTCACAGCCATATTCCCGTAACTGTTTTTTTTATTTATGTATCTTTCGTGATGCTTCCTTTCAATAGCCATGCAGGACCTCTCCGTGTTTTGGCTGTCTGTTTTTATTTTCCACATGATGAAAGAGTGCCCTTTGCGTCATCCCCTTCAAGTCACCTGTAATGCATTTAGTGCGGTTTCACGTCACAAGTGTGGCCACTCACCACTATATGTCAGCACCCTGCTGCCTATTGGATTAGGGTAAAAGAGAGGAGATGGCTACAGGGGGAACACACACACACACACACACACACACACACAGAAATAACAACAACAACATCAAATACAAGGACGGATCACTGTGCTCCTGGTTCCATATCTTCATTATTACCGAGCTGCTCATAGATTCAAAGGGATTCACAAGTACTTCAGCATTAACACTTCTAAAACCCTGATCCAGTATTGCGAGTCCCTGACCTGCCATATTGGTGTATGGCAGCGGGAGGTCGGTGGGACGGATGCAGTGAAGTGGGGAGGAAATTGAAGCGAATTGGCGAGATTGCATGGGAAGAGTAAGATCCACAGAGTATCAGCATGAGAGCCCCGCCATGTGCAAAACAACACAATTAAGAGGGACGCTTAGCCTAATCAGTGAATGCATCATGCAAATGCTGTTTTTTTTTTTTTTTTTTCAATGCCTACTTTAATCTTGGCCGTTATCGCGGAATACAAATCAGGGACTTAACTCTAATGAAAGGAAGAGAGAGTGAAAAGGGTGGGATGAGACAACAGAGAAGAAGAGGGATAGCGGAAGATGGAGAGGATGATGTCTGAGGAAGACGGCGAGGCAGAGCTGGCCGCTGTGATTGCTGTATTTCACCCTGTGAGGAGTGTTTTTAGCCAAATTCAATATTTCAAGTCAGACAATTATTGACACAGCGACAGAGCTTCATTCGATTCAAAGCAGTTTACTCCCATTGTTGAATCTACTGCTACAATAACAAAGACGCTTTATGAATACGTAATTCTGCACCACCACAAACTGCAGCCCAAGAAAGCACAACAAACAATTTCAACAGCAAAGTAATATCATAAACGTGGCAATGGCAATAGTTATTGCTGAATTATAGATTTACGTTGTACCGATGAATAGTGGTCCACCCCACCTGTTATTTATATAGGTGCACAGAACGTGTTTTCAATACTGTGCACGCAACAGAAAGCATATTTAGATTTCGTTTTTGTGCACATTTTCAGTAAAAAATAACCACTTCTTTTTTTTACACTGCCGGGTAAATATAGTTCTCCAAATTCAATATTTGACTTATTCTACAAATTCTGAAATGTAGTGGTGAATGAGGCCATTATGGCTTATTTGGAAATACTATATACTGGACAGCACAAAAACGTAAGCTTCATTGAGCAGGGGAAATAGGAAATACCTGATTATTTTTTGTTTCTATTGCCTCAGGCTGTACAAAGAACCCTATAAACACGCCTCCAACACTGGCATTACATCAAGATGAAATCCTTGTGAGCCACGGAAGAGCCTTTTTGTCGGTCTTTTATATACACAGCGTTTCCAATAGGCTGCGTCCTGGTGTCACTATACACAACTTACATGGCATGTGGTAACTGTCCACATACTGTTGCAGACTTCTGTGAACCGTCTTGGGTCAGTATAGGGGTGTCTTCCTCGTGACATCATTTCCCAGAGGCCCCTTTGGATTACGGAAGACGAGAGGCAGCCGGAGGCCTACCTTCCAAAACAAGGCCCCAGAATCCCCCCATCAAACATTATGTAGGGATGTGTGCTAATGGTCCACAGTCTGCAGTCTAAACAAACAGACTCTGAAAATGTCCTAGCAAAGCAAGCTCCAGCAATGGACTCAACACATCCTGGATGCCAACCCACAGTAACCTCATCGCTAGTTTACTTTCTTTAGTCTGCATTCACACAAAAGTAGCTCATCTTCATTCACTCATTCATTCAGAGTGTAACTGTACATATTCATCCACACCGACAGCGGAAGGACTTTACCTCCATTGGCTGCATCATGATCACAGAGTAAGAACAAAAGATAAAGCAGTTGTTCTCTGCATACCTGCCCGAAAAACAAGTTACCATTGTTGATATACTATTTTTGAAAATGCTTTTTTATGTGGTTCACCTTCACTGTTGGACATTCGGTGTAAGCATGAGTGTTCATACACACAACACACAAACGTAAAATGTAGGTAAATAACTGTGGAGCGAGTAGCTAAGAGGTAGACATCCTGTTTACAGAGAGATGAGCTGAGAGGAAAAGTCAGACTCCATAATTTCCCTTTAAATCTCAGCAGGGGAAAAAAAAAAGAATCAATCTCCGCTTCACCAGTATTCAGCTCAGCTAAATGCACCTAAATTGCACCAATCATGGTCCTATTTTAGGTCTGTGTATGTCTATGAAATGATTGTTGAGACAAAAGAGCTTTCTGATGGAAGGGCTGCCGGGGGGGGGGGGGGGGCATATACTTTTTACCTCGGGGACTAGAACAAAAGAGCACCAGCAAGGAGGCTCATTATGTTGTCATGTAATGCTGCCATTAGGTCATGCGAACGCTGCCACCAGGGACACCCAATATGAACCGGGTGATCATTTCTATGGGACAAACACAACTTACACATAATAAGTGAGAGGTCTAAAAAAAAAAAATGTATCTGTTCTTCTGCTGTGATTATTTCATATCTATGTTTGACGAATATTTCTCACATTTCATAGCTTTATGGTCAGTGCTAGTCAAACAGTCAAGGCAGTTAGAAAGGCAGAGCTTTTGGCAACAAAGCATAGAAACACACAGCTGCTAGTAGCGCCCTCTGGTGGCCGCTTGCTGACATACAGATGTTGACTCAACATTTCATGCCAGGGCTGACCTCAGAGGAGAGGAAAGCAGGAGGAAATATACCATCCACTGCTCAGGACATTTTGAACTTGTGAATGTGTGCAGAGAAGACGTGAAAGAAGGAAGGAGAGAAGACAAAAATCGTGACTAACATACATAGAATAGTTTTGTCATTTGTGAATACTTGAACAGCGATTTACTGGTTATTTAACAGACATGTAATACAGTTATCAGGGTTATGAGAGACTGAAAGTGTGACTTCTCCACCACAAGAGAAATCTGTATTCATAAAAAACATTTGTATAAGAAATTTATTTTATATATATATATATATATATATATATATATATATTTTTTTTTTTTTTTTCCTTTTTTTTTTCCTAATTGTACAGATAACAGATGCAAATATTTAAAATCAGAGGAGTATTTGCCATTTCTCAAAAGGCAACATTTCTTTATTACACAAGATCAAATATTTAAAATAAAGTGACTTCATTAAATTGGTTGGATTATAGTTTAGCTGTAAAAGTCATATCTTCACGGTATACGAGAGGTAAGTATTGATCAGAGGGCAGTGGATTTTGTCTGAAAGTTACATAAGCTGACTGTAAAAAGGCCAGGTCATTATGAACCGTAGATGAAATATTGAAAAGTGTCATGTCAAATCAGGAAAAATCTCTTTCCCATTGTTGAACTGAACAGCGGGCAACCTGATTAGTCAGCAGCACGCCAAGTCTTAAATGTGGTAATAAATTGAGTCAAAGTGAGATTTTACATTTTTTTCATTTGGGTTTTTGTAGTCCTGCACTGGAGTCTTTTTATATCTGTGTTTTACTGCAAGTCTCATTGAACAAGCAGTGTTCATCCTACAACAACTACATTTAGTGTAACTTAAACAGCTGAACAGACCTGAGTGTGTCCAGTTGTTTGTATTATTGTCTGAAGTCAACAACCCTA